CCAAAAGGGTTAAAAGTGGGTGCTACTGCCCTGGCTGGTTTGGCTCGGTGGATAGAGCATCGGCCTGCGGACTGAAGGGTCCTGGGTTCAATTCCAATCAAGGCCACATGCCGGGGTTGCAGGCTCGATCCCCAGTGGGGGACGTGCAGGAGGCAGCCGATCCGTGATTCTCATCATTGATGTTTCTCTCCCTTCCTCTCTGACATCAATGAAAATATATTTTTAAAAAATGTCAGCAAGGGCACCAGGCAGATTCAGCGGAAAAGCCAGGCTTTCCTTTATTTTTTAAATATATTTTATTGATGTCTGTCAGAGAGGAGGGGAGAGAGAGAGAGAGAAAAACAATGATGAGAGGGAGTCACCGTTCGGCTGCCTCTTGCGGGCCCCACATTGGGGACCGGGAATCGAACCGAACCCTGACCTCCTGCTTCATAGGTCAACGCTCAGCCACTGAGCCACCCCGGCCGGGCTGGACGCAGGGTTTTCAACAAACGGCGCCAGAGGCCGAGCAGTCACGTGCACAAGGTGACTTTGGACCCTTCCCACACTCGCAGACGTTAACACCAAGCGATCCCAGAGCCAAAGGGCAGAGCTCACGACGACACGTAGACGTGGGCAAAACCCGGGAGGGAACAAACAGAGCCCTGCACTCAGAGTTCGGGAGGAGGGAACGCGCCCTCGGCCCGTCCCATCCTCACACTCGCCCCGTTCCCACGCCAGGGTCCAGGCCCTGTCTGGGGTGTGAGGCATCTGGAGTGAGGCACGGGCTCTGCTTGTCCTGTTTGTGAGGTCACCCCGCCTCCCACGGGTGGAGGGGCTCTGGGAGGAGCTGCTCTGCTCCCCAGTCTCCGGGCTTCCTGCCTGCCTGGTGTCCCACAGGAAGTGGGGGTTCCACAGGAAGTGCCTCAGCGAGGTGGGCCCTCACCGGCAGGCCCTGTGCGAGTTGGACCAGGCCTGGGGCTCCAGGGCGAGGCTGGTGTTTGCCGGCCGTCAGCGCTGCGGCCACAGGAACACACCGGGCGATGCCCAACGTAATGCCTCCCCAGGGTGAACCCTCAAAGAGGTCGTAGCCCGGAATCAGACCCTGGCCTCCCTGCGCTTCCGTACCCCTTACACCCTCTGCTGCTGCTCTTTTCTCCTTGGTTAACCCTCACCCCAGGACGCTTTTCCATTGATGTTTCGAGAGTGGAAGGGGGGAGAGAGAGACATCCACGGGAGGGAGACGCCTATTGGTGCCTCACCAGGGCCAGGGATGGCGCCTGCAACCGGCGTGTGCCCTTGGCCGGAATCGGACCCC